AAGTGCCACAGCCTCAAAACCGGCGTATAGTTTCGTTTAGGCTATTTTTTTATAGTACCTACTAACACTTTTGCGGTCGTCTATTGCAATAATCTCAGGGTTAACCACTTTAAGGTTGGACTTGTAACCCCTGGTGTTGCTATCTCACTTATGGAGTAAACAGTTTGCGCCTTAGAAACATATTTTCTTAAAAAAATTAAAATTCTATTCTCTTGCCTATTACACGACACTTTATATGTGACTGAACGAAAAAAGGTGCCTACTTCCGTCTAGTGTCGTTACAGTACTTACTTGTTTTATATCATTTTTAGATAAGAAAAAGATTCGTAGTTAATTTCTCTCGTAGATCTTTCGTCCCATTTCGGCGCGTTCTATTTAATATCGGTTTTATAAACGAAACAGCCCTATTGTCACGCAGACATAACTTTATCACTTATATCCATAATATCACCTAGACCATCGACCCCTAACTTTAAGGGGCCACCTAAAAAAAATAGTATTGCCCTCTGTTTTTGAAACACTGATCATCGTAGAAGTTAACTAATCAGCCGTCAAATGGCTTTTCAAATATTATTTGAGTTGCCAAAAGGGTTTTTACTCTCTGAATATAACAGCCCTAATGATCAGAATGATCAATTTAAAGAGTTTAACAATACTTTTGTTAACTTACATCCTTCAATCCAACAATCATTTTTACACTTAATTTTTTTAGGTTAACCCTTAAAAGTTAGGGATCGATGGTGAAAACGGGCATACCTAAGTGTCATAACAAATAATATAAGACAGAAATTATAGCAATCATAGTTTAGTTTGAGTAATATGTAATGAAAGTATGTTGTGACAAATATATCGATTTAAGTCTTCATGTTTTATTTCGTCACCATCGACGAGTTATGAGGTTATCGGCCCTTTTATCATTGTGTGTCTGAATTCGCCCGTATGACTTTTTGGACGTTTCTTGTATTGTATGAACATGTGTGAGAACATGCGATCGAGCGACAAAGTACATAAAAGTATATACACACTCATAAATTATGAATAACACTACTTATTATGTTATAGGTTATATGATTCAAAAAATGAATACAAAGACGAACCCTTCGATCGCAGCGCTATGTGGATTTTCCTTTATCAGTGGAGTCACCTCCTCCTAAGAATTCTGCTGGGTTGCGAAAACCGTATATGTTGATGTTTAAATCATTTATAATAGGTAACAAAACAGTGAATATGTTTCTAAGAAACTGTGGAGGAACATGAGAAGTTCCGAAAGTATTGTACAAAGAACTCGTAAAGCGTAGATAATCCCAGCACTATATTGCTATCGGAAATTGAACAAATCGTTTAACGAAAAAAGCAGGTTTTCCAGCGAAATGGTGTTAATCGGTTTATCTGTACTTGATACGCGCAATCTGTGTGTATCTGTAAACGAAAAAATGATAAAAGTTGACCAACGTAATTGTTGGAAGAGCAGCTCTTTGTACTCGCTAGTATAACAAACACAGACACTGTTGACTATATGCAGTCACTGTTGACTGTATGCAGTCAGGTGTAGCACACCTTAACTTTATTTGCTCATTGTATCTTGCTAATTTGCAATTATTCATTCTAGGTGAAAGGGGGGTTAATCAGCGAACTGTGAACTGATGTCATATGCAGGGCCGGATTTAGGAGAGGGCAACCGAGATTTCAGCCCCGGGGCCACAAAAAAGACCACGGAAATAGACACGGAAAAAAAAACAATTCAGACTAGTAATCACTATAGTAAAAAACTTTTCCTTTCATATTTTTGTTTCGCGTTTGAACTTTACCTACAGTACGTTGTACAAACATGATTACATTAAATATTAACAGAAATCATCGATCGTTAATTGTAACGTTCGTTAAATAATAAAAGTATCTATACTTGGTTTCGCAATAAATTATTTATTGGAAAACTCGACTGAAAAAATTTGGAAAATAATGGCCTACTTGGCCCCAGCCAAGGGGCGACCACTCCTTTGTTGTCGCGAGGGCTCCAGACCTTTATATCGGGCCCTGGTCATATGATACTCACCGTACCCTCGTGGTATGTTTCTACGACAAAGGACTTCTTTCCTAAAACGTTGGCAGGCGAGCCAGCGTTCCACCTGATTAAGTGATTACTTCCGCCCAACATCTAAAAGACCAGACAAATGCTAACCATTGAAACAAGGACCAGGTTTCCTCACTCACCAGACGAAACGCGAACGTATAACTTCCACTTCACGCCGATCTAATATGAGTCATGGTACTGCCCCGGAGGAGCCTTCAGCCTGCCCATTCCTGGCCCACCTTTTTAAGGTTGGCAACGCAATGCATCCCTTCTAGTTTTGTTAATGTCTATGGGCGACGGTATTCACTTAACATCAACGCAATCGCCTGTTTAAACTGCAAAAAAAAATGTAGACGGGTACACGTAACAAAAAATTACACTTCACAATTGTAAGACAGTTATCCTTAGCAAGTTATACCTACGTATATTACAAGTATACAGCGTGTCGTTACCATCGCGACAATAAATGAACACACATATAGGGGATAACTTTTTAAAGTTGTATTAAACATTTAAATTCTTAAAACATCAATATTTACAGAGTTATTAAATTTTTCAAAACAAAGAATTTTAGAACATCTTACCTATAAAAGCGTAACGTAAAGTTCATTTGTAAAGGTCACAAAACATATGAATGGGTTGAATGAATTTAAAAGAGACAAAACACTGTTAGAAGGAGAGGCTTGTAATATGACGCTGTGCGCGAGTTGTATAGGGTGTTACAAATTTTGTTTCTTTTTTACTTAATTAGTTTGAAAAATATTTTTTTTAAATTATGGATTTTGTTTAACGTTAATATTTTTTTATGATTATTGGCAAGTAGCGATAGACGTGTGTTCATTTATTGTCGCGATGGTAACGACACGCTGTATAATAAAAAACAAAGTTATACATATAACCAAAACAGAAATAAAACAATACATATTGTTTTCTTGATTTTACGCGAATATTATACATATTAAATGAAACTAGTTTACGGATTTTATCGCGTTTTTTATTTTGATTTGAACTCCCGACGTTTCGAACCCTTCAAAGCGTTCATGGTCACGGGACAGACTAAGTTGTTTTACGTCTTGATGTCATAGTTAACCCTGGCTACCGTCAATTATTTAAATACCGTCAATAATCCAGTCAAATAAGTAATTTATTTTTACTTAACCAGCTTCAGAACCAAACCCGGCGGAGGAGGGTGGTGGGGGCGAGGAAAGCCCCCGTATATTATGTAAAAGCAACATTTAACATGTCAACAATAAAATGGCGGAGCTCTGTAGTGAAAATTACAATTTTTCAATATTTTTTCTTTCGGAAACTAAGTGACCCAAGAATCCTTTTTGTTGATTAAAAACATTAGCGATTTTTCTCCATTGTTTAATTTTTTTTTTCATTTCCGAACCGAACACATTTAAGTAGTCTAAAGGAATACGGATTTCTAAAATCAAATAACCTTTATCATGCAACATTTAATACAGTATATTATATGAATCATAAATTACAATGAAACCTCGACTACAGTGTGCTACTAAACAACAATGTCTTTATTTTCTCCAAGCAACCAAAAAGCACTATAATCACTATAATAAATAATTTTCGTGTATAGCATTGGTAATGTATAACAAAATAAATTGGTCCTTAGATCGGATACTATTGTATAAAATGCTTGCACACGATTAAAACAATTCAATGTTGAAAAACCACAATCATAGTTATAGATCTCAAAGTAATGAATTAATTTAGAAGGCAAAATAGATCCTAAAAACTACATTATAAAATCTCTTGATGGACCTTTTACAGGCTAAACACTTGCCCCGCCAAGTTATTTGCTTACATTTCTAATATACATATATTTGTTTCACAAAATTCAACTTAACTTTAGAAAATTGTAGTAACAGTAACAGATTTTTACAAGGATAAGATGTAACAAAATGCAATATTCTAGACATTTGAAAAAGTTTTTATAAAAGTTGACTTGATATTGGTCATTTGCAGTCTTAGATCAGTTTCGAACTTCAGAGCGAGAGAAAGAGGAATGATAATATAATGAGTATTGAAATCCTTTAAAAGTGGCTTTTCAAAAAAATAATTAAGTTACCATTGACACTACAGTTTTATATATTCTTTTTTTTTCGTAACATTATTTATTGAATTTTTTTTTTGCTTTCACTAGAATAAGTATCATGAATATATCTTTTTATATATATTATTAAAATATTAACATTAAAAATATGGAGATCTTTTATAACACCTATATGTTATAATCTTCCCACAATATAATCCAAATGTTAGTTACAAAAAACCTTTTTGGTTATTCACATATATAATTTTGTAATCATTTATTTAAATTAGACTCAATTATTATATAACAGTCCAAGTAACACATATATAAGTGTACATATCAATTATAGACTAGAATAGGCCCATAGAGGGAAAAAAAATCGAAAGATTAGACAATAATGCCATATATATATATTGGCAATATTATAATAGTATAACTACAGAAATATGATATTTTTATAGCTTTCCGAGAAATTGATTATTTTAAGTAATACACACTTTTATAAAATATTTTCTCATCACCTGGAATAAGCACAACAATGTGCAACATAGATGTGAAACTTTTATTGTATGTTCTAATTACAAACTTTAACGAGTATACCCATTTTTAAAAGTGCAATAATCTACATACAAAATAATATAGCAATTATTCACATTTGAAATAAATAACACGATAACTCAGACTTAATAATATAACAAAACTAGACAAACAACAACTTGTTTCTTACACATTGTTCTAAAGGCTATTGGTGCAAAATAAATATACAAATGTAGATGTAGCGGACGACTATGCTGTGACATCCAAGCTTCAATTTTTATATTTGTATTTGTCATTTTTCGTTGGCTGGCTCCCACTGCCACCCGGGGCCTCATCTCAGTCGGCCGTCCACTGCACAAGGAACATGACTTATTGTTTACATCTATCCTATCAATATCAAACACAAAATATTTTGACAAATTGAAATATTAGTTGACCTATGCTAAATTTTCGGAGAGTACCATAATAACTATTTATTTCTAAACAGCATTTTATTTTTTAGAATAATGATAAATGTCAGTCTACTTTGCTATCTTTCACTTGAATTGAATTGAACATATTGACAATGGGTCTCATATAATCATACATTATTTGTAAGAAGTTTTTAAAAATATATGTTTTGTGTTAACCTTAACTTTATTCTATTTGTGCATTTTCATCAATATCAGCAAATATAGTTTTAAATGGTGTTTGAATAATTTAATTTGATGAAAAATTATGAAAGCTACCCCGCACATCAACATAAAACAGCTTTTATAAAGGATGTATAGTTTACTAGTTATTACATTAATACCTGGTTTGTGATCATCATAGAAATTAACCAATCAGCTATAAAATGACTGTTTTCATTTCAATTGCCAAAAGACCAAAAGGATGGTTAAACTCTTTACAGATTGTAACCATCCTTTGGCAACTCAATTGACATTTGTTAAGTCATTTGACAGCTGATTAGTTAATTTGTACGATGATCAGTGTCTCAGAAACCAAAAGTAAGTATCTCATTTTGACCAGACCAGTGTAGTCCTTAAAGTGGGATTATTTTACCTTCAGTGTCGCTCCACCATCCTTCTGTAGCTCCTGCTCTCTACGTTCCATCTCCTCAGCCCTCTGCTGCATTTTCTTCACCCTCTCTGGGTCCTTCACACCGCGGGCTGCTTCCTCAGCACGCCTTTTCTCTGCAGCCTCCACTTGCTGTCTGCGCCTGGTTTCCTGTTTAAACAAGCCATTCAACCTGCAATATATTTTTTTCACAAAGGCTGCAGTAGAATATATGTTCTGTTTCAGGAAGAATTCAGGAACACAAAGTACATCCAAATCAGGGACAACTGTTTGTGATTCACAAAATATTATATCCAGTGAACCCATAAGTGTATGTATGATATCATTGAAGTTTTATTCATTTGTAAGAGCGACTTAAGAAAATGAATAAATAAATGAATAAACCCCATAAGTAAAATTCCAAAAACCGAGATTGTACAATATCTGTAGTGGAGTCCACATCATCACATAAGTAATTTTGTTTTAGATAAGAAACTAATTTATTAGTGCGTTTTAACTTTTAATGATAATATATACTGTTTTAAATATTTATGGGACTTATTCAATAGGATAAGATCATTAAAACGCTCCTTGTTTTCAGCAGTATTCAAAAAACAAAATTCTTAAATAAAAGCAACCTGAAATTATATTCCAAGTCAAAATTTCTTTATTTAACATAGGCTTATTTTAAGCTCTTATTGAACGTCAAAAACTACCATTCTAATAGAGTACTACTACACTACATTTTAATAATACAATCATGATACATTATGTTTGTTGTTAATAACATTGTTTAATAAAACGATCCATTTCAAAAGAACAGAAAAATTGCAAGTGTGAAACTTACAGCATCTGGTGTTAAAACTTCCGACGCTGACGGTCTACAGCAAGATATAAGTATACCCATTTTTTTCGAAATATCTCGTGCCTTTCTAGTGATTCATTATTGAATCAAAATCAAATCATTAAAATCAATAGCGATTCATTTTAATTTACGACGGACCAGAAAATCAACACAATTGTCTTTGACGTGACCGATTTTGGTGATGCCAGACTCTATAATAAATTTCTACCGTTTCATGTTTTATTAAAATAATGAGTTACTGTAGTAGTTTATTAATCGTTATTACGCACAAATTCCTCAACATTGTATTTTTTAGCTTATAAAAACTATTACATTGAAAAGCATTCCTTCGCATTTTTACAATAAGCAGTCAGCAGTCCATTTAGCTTGAATTTATATATAATTAATAAAGATACACCCAACGATCACACGCAATTATGCACAGTAAATTAACAAAAATGTTGAAATTGAATTGTTGATTTACTAATAATCACGAGAAATATTTTTGAAAATGCATTATTTTATACGAACACAAGCCATTAAGTATTTTTTTACTACTGTCATGGGTTTCAGTTATAAATATCTTATTTTCGTGAAATTGTAAAACAAAACTAACCATTCTTTTCCAAAGAATATTGTTTATATTCGCCATTTGCACTTAATAAACGGAAATACTGTGTTGTAATTTATTCTACAGCTAAATAACACCAGCAAACAGAATTGGCATCGGCTGTTTATAAAAGAGTGAGTAGACGATCAATAACAGACTAAAAGGCCACCAACCAAGAGAAAATAGGTCGTAAGTGTGGCAATTGTACAAAATGTTAGCTTGTAATTTAATTTAGGTAGATATTACGGGTAGAGTTTTTATATATTGAAGTTAATGTTATCATTTAACATATTAATGTCTAGAATTTCGATCAATTTAACATTTACTAATATTACTAATACTACATTTAATAAATATTTTTGTAAAAGCTTTAAGAACACAAATTTTCCACGTTCCAGGAAACTACTATCAATCCTTATTGTCGAAATAGCCAATATTATAGCCGACTGATTGCAGAAAAACTCAAATTTATTACCCACTTACAAACCTCATTAAACGGACCGGTACAGAGTAAAATTGTTTGTCTGCTGTAAAGGATAATATCCTTTACAGCAGACAAACAATTTTAAACAATTTTGAATATCGTTGCACCATATCGTAGTGCATTCGAACGTGTCATGTCGCAATTGCTATAAGAAGAAAAGAATCTGCTAATCACTACACTTAAGATGAAACATTAAAATGTGTAGAAAAATGTACGAAAAGTTTTTCGCCTAACATATTCGTGATATATCACGAATGCATGTTTTCTATAAACGAACTTTGCGTCTGTATGTGAGGTTTTTGTCTAGCGTCGAGATATTTTGCTTACGATACGGAGTTTTTTTCTTCGGCTGTAGTCCGAATTAATTAAACATCATCGCTTTACTCTGTACCGGTCCGTTTTATGAGGTTTGTAAGTGGGTAATAAATTTGAGTCCCTAGGTAAAGTATCGTATGGTCCCTAGGTAAAATATCGAAAGTGAAAAATGCAACTTTTCAGGAGAGCGATTTAAAGTTTATTTTTTGCATAACTTTGTCATTTATGATAAGAACTTCATAAAAATTTGGATTCACAGTTGTATTGGGCTTATTAATTATTACGTCATTGCAAAAATCGATAATTATAAATAGTTTTCGAGAAAAGTAAGTTACGATAGTATACAATGTAAATGAACATGCTTTATGAATCGAAACTGGCACTTTCGATTATTTACAGGGAACCGCATATACACAAATGTATCGAATCTGCCGATTTTGATATTTTACGTTGGCTTATGTTAGGAATATTTTATTGAAAGTGTCATATTCGATTATTTACTTCATAGATTGCTTGCACTTACAATTATTTTGTAATAGAAAAACAAGAAAATAAATTACGTAAAACATCTTTATTAAAGTGTGTTATAAATTAAACAAATGTATAAATTGTTGATGTAAATAATATTTAAAATCAGTCTTATCTATGGTAAAATTTAGGAAACAAACAAAAATGTAGGACTTCATTGGTAGATACGTAATACTAATTCAGAAAAAATATTCATCAGAATAACTAATCTCGAATTTCTGTCTTAACAAAAAATATTATAGTATTTACATCATAAATAGATAATACGGAAAAATATCTTAGTAAATGAATATTACTCATCGGACTCATCAATATTTCAGATGAAAAGGAAAATCCGTTGCCGTAAAACCTATGAAATATCATTATTTTTTGGGTATTGTTTATGAACGACATACAATCTTTATACTTTGCTACTGGTAAAAGTAGTTAATCTGAATAAAGATTTTTTAAAAGGTGGTAGGACCACGCAGTAGCCTCGGCTGTTGCACGAATGGGCAGACTCGTCTGGGTAAATACCACGACCTCACAGTAGACCGGCGTAAAGTGGAAGTATAATACTTTCGTGTTTCGTCTGGTGAGTGAGGTGGCCGGAGCCCAATTTTCAAAAGGTTGTCAACGCATCTTGAACCCTCGGGTGTAGCAAATGTCCATGGGCGGCGGTAATCACTTAACATCAGGTCACCGTCTACTCGCTTGGTAACTTTTCACATAAAAAAAAACTAAGTCAGCCGACACATTCTCTTTTTGCGGCTTCTTGTTTCTATAGTAGTATTTTCACAAAAATAACACTTCAAATCACATTTAAAATACAATCTGGTTCCTCTTTTCTTACACTAACATCTTTAATGCTGTTCCACTTCACATTTTCATTTGTATTGTCTCTTTTCCAATTATTGTTAGCTAATAAAAATTAAAGTCGTAAAGATCACTCTTGGTTTCTTCTACAACGTTGTCGGGTCTCCGTCGTACTAATGCGATGTACGATCATCGGTTAAGAGCGTAAATTAGTTTTTTCTTAGATTATCTCTCTATGAGGACCAGTACACTATCGCCCTCGATCTAAGTATGGCCTTGCTCTAAACAACGATGAGCAATATCTACGCCAAATCGTCTTGACAACTGCATTTATAACGAATATACGATTCTATTCCTATTCTGGCCCACACAATTATCGGAACAAGTAAGAATTTCCTGATCTATCATTTGCGTTTAATAATGATTCAAACAGTTACTTACTTCATTAGCTCCTCTTTTACCGGTACTTTCCATCCACATGTGCTACATGAGGGTACGAAGTACTGGTACCTTCTTTAAAAGCTAAATCGAAAACAGCCCACGAAAGTTACAAACCAAAGTAAAATAAAAAAGTTAAATACAGAAAATTTCAGCTTATAATAAAACAAACCGATGTCTCGTGAGTATGGATGAATACATAAGCCATTTAAAAATGTTTACACACAAACCTGTTGTGGTGTAAATGTGCTGGTAAAAAAATATTTGGACGTAAGTTGTTTTCTTGGTTTTATTAATTTTATGGGTGAACTTATTGATAAACTCCCATTGCCTACCTAGTATGTTTTCCTTTCCATTTCGACTGAGGTATTGCTGACCAGAACTTTCTTTTTTACGGGATACCTTGATCTTTTGTGATTGATATTCTTTTTGAGTTAGTTTTAAAAATGGGTTTTCTTTCTTTTCCTGTACTCCTACATGGAGAATTACATGCCGAAACAGTTATGTATGAGTCTGCACTTGGTAACTATGTTATAGGTTTAGCATAATCCTCACCTAACTGTTAAGACCTAACTCTAAAGACTCGGGTTCTTGTTCTCCATTTTGACTTCAGGTAATAATAGTATTACCTCAAGTCAAAGTGACGAACAAGAAACCTATTTATAGAATACTATTTCTTGTACGGGAGACCCGACTTCTAAATCTGGGGAAGGTAATAGAGTTATTTCCCTGCTATTCATGAAAATTGATGAACTTTGGTCACTGTCTTCGATGATAACCGAGTTGCATGGGAAGTTAAACTGTGGTTGTGTCCATCAATTCATCGTCCAAACAAATCCTTTATATTTTTCCAATCATTGAAGACGCAGTTGGTGGGTATCGGTGACTCTAAAAAAAGTAGAAGGTAAGTAGGTAAATTAAATAAAAATAATAAAAATATTATTTAAGAAAATCTAGTTTTATGAATCACAGAAAATAAATATTATAAGTAAGTTACTTCACATTAATATAAGCACTTACCTATATCGAATCTTTACAAAAAAGAAATAAAATCCACCCAAAACAATCGAAAGTGGCACTTCCAATTGAAATTTTACTTTGTAATACAACGTAAAGTATCGAAATCGTCAGTTTCGACAGAATTATATTATGAAAAAACCACGTAGGTAATCGAAACCAGTACTTTCGATACTATTAGGAAATTACAACCCGTCATAAACGATCGAATCTACCCGATTCGATATATTACGCGGGAGGGTAACTTTCTCATCACACAATATATTTTATTAATAGAGAATAAAAAAAACATTAACAAAATAGCTATAAGAATTTTGCACGCCAGGCGCGCATCATTGCGGCGTAAACTAGCGATAGTGGTAGTTCCGTCCTTGTTTCACACTCGCCGATGCAGCGTAATCTCGCGAAAGTTAACATTCGTTGTTTTACGCCGGATAGACTGTTACGTTTCGTTATTATACGTTTCTAAAAAACGCATACACAAACACTTTTTAAAATTTTTGAAAACCTTGTTACAAAATTAGTATTATTGAGATCTAAAACAGCAATAAAAAAAATTGCAATTTTGTAGATTCGATACTTTACCTAGGGACCATCGTAAAATTATTTTATTATAACAGTTGATGCGCCAAGCATACTTCGAGAATTTTGTCGATGTAGTAATCAGCCATTTAGCACAGTGGTTAAGGCGTTTGGGCGCAAATCCTGAAGACGTGGGTTCAATTCCCACAGCGGCGAAAAACTTATCCTAGTTTTTTCTACACATTTGAATAATATTGATATGTAGTTAATGCGACCAAGGTGAAGCCATGAAAACGTCTTTAGGTAAGACAGGAACGTTGGAAGGCCTCCCTCTAGGTGGACCGACGACATCATAAGAGTCGCGGGCAACCGGTGAATGCAAATGTCAAAGAGTCGTTCGTTGTGGCGTTCTAAAGGGGAGACCTATGTTCAACAGTGGACGTCTTGTGGCTCACGACGATGATGAAGTGCGGACTCGCACACGAAGAGCTCCGTAACATTATCTATAAAGTCAGCAAAAAAATCACTTAAGTATTTCTTTATTCTGTTTTTAACAGAAATTTAATTATTATCTGTGAAAATTGCAACTAACTAACTAGCACGGTTCATGAGATACAGCCTGGTTACAGAGGGACAGATAGACAAACAGCGGAGTCTTAGTAATAGGGTCCCGTTTTTAGGTACGGAATTCCCTTTAGTACGGAATCTTACGGCATACGTTCATAACGTAATTCATTACAAAAATTCTAAGAATAATACTTACTGTGATTTTATCAGCTTCGTAAATCTTGAAGGGATCGAACGATTACGAAACGTTGTTGAATAATTAAACTCACGTAAATGAATTAAAATTTTTGGGACATTTATTTGTTTTCTCGTCTGGCTGGGTTTATAAATTGAAATAAACCTACATGTGTATATTGAATAGATATAAACAATAATAAATTAACATTAATTAACAATAATAAATTCGAAATCTTAATAATATTAGAAAAAATATTATTAATAAGTAATTAAAAATCATTAAAATTATTATTAAGATTTCGAAAGCCCTCGTCACCAGCTGTTTCGTGGTAAACTTGCAATTTCGATCTTGTTCGTCTAATTGCCCATCTCTCGTGAACAGGGGCCGCGGAGATGCAATGGAGCGGACGGATTCATCACGTTATCATTGAACACCTGTTATGTTATTCTTCCGACTTCCGAATGGTGGTTGAGTGTCAGCTATTCCAATAAACAGCTGTTACAGCCGCCAGGCTAACAGCAAACTACACTAACATTAATAACAGAAATAAAAAAAGCTTTATAACGAGTTTATCGATACATTTTACGCAACTTTTACCGCTAGTGAGTACTAATATCGATATCGATTACCGCTGCAGGGGCAGCTCTAACGCAAAGTACATTTCGTCTTGGTCAGTCGCGATTTGTAAAAATATTTTAATAATAAAGTTTCCAAAATGCTATCTCGCATAGCTTTGCGTTCAGGTAGGCATAATTTTTGTTATATATTTAAGGAAAAAATAATTGTCACGGCCAAAAGGAATAACCTTCATGTTACAGCGGTTTATGTAATCACTGATTTGACAAGTACCTGTAAGGTTTTATTTTTCCATATTTATTCAAAAATTCTTTTCCAGCCAGCAGATTTTAATTACCAGAGACTGATTATTTCCACCAGCCATTTAACCTTAATTTTTTTTGTGTTTTAATAAATTATAAGACTAACAGTATTAAAATTTAGTTAATAGCTTGTAGACATTATTATCTCTCATCAATAATGATTTTTAATGTTAAATAATGGGCGAAACATGAATATTATACTTTATTATAATTATGTTAAACACTATAGAAAAGCCAAGGGTAGAGGTTTTAAATTTGGGTTTAAACTTTTTGGTTGATGAAAATCTGAGATTGGTTTGTAAAATGGCTTTTTGGTGCTACAAAGATTTCTACTATTCTGAAATCTGTACTAATATTATAAATGCGAAAGTAACTCTGTATGCCTCGCTTGCACGCCAAAACTATTGAACCGATTAAAATGAATTTTGGTTTTTAGTCTGAGAAAGGACATGGCAATTTTTAATTGAAAAAAACTTTAAAATATATACACATTTTAAAGAAAGATATTTATATAAGGGCATCAACGCGAGTGAAGCCGCGGGCGAAAAGCTAGTCTAAAATATAAGAACAATGTATATCGAAGAGAGTAAAAAAATAGAATTTGGTACCATTTCTTATACCGGTTTAGCTACTAAGGAAATGTACGAAACACGAACAAGTACAGTGAGATCAATTATCTGCAAGTTTGTGTATGTAAAATTTCAATGCAATAGATAGATATTGTTGTCCTACAGTAAGGGCAATGGTTTTATTTTCATATACCTCTGATTCTAACTATATTCCTGCCCATTGTTTATGTTTAAAGCTTCGGCTAGACAGACTGCTTCAACAGCACTAGTAGCGCGTGGATCAGCTACTGATGCAGTCGGAGTACGTGATGAGAAAAACTTCCCTAGGCCAGTTCGTGGTGAGCCTGGCAAGGTCCGGCTTGGCTTTGTACCCGAAGAATGGTAAGTGAACTGAAAATTCAAAGGCTTTTGGGCTGTAATTCCAGTCTTGTTTTGTACTTATGGCAAAAACAGTCGCCTAAATGGTTATTCTGAAACTGAATTTTGCCATGGACTTCTTACAAAAGAGAATTCTCAAGTGAATAGATTTTTATTACCCAAAACATTTTACAACAATCTACAATAGTTTTATATGCAATTTAATATAATTTTTACTTACCACATACCTTCAGGTACAATAATTATGAACGAAGTAAAAGAAACCTTGATAATGCATTGCTATATTATATGCATGATCTAATTGTTACTTTTCTGATTATTTTATAAGTGGTAAATTACTTAAGTTTTATTAACAATGTTACCATTTCACAGGTTCCAATTCTTCCATTCAAAGACCGGTGTGACTGGTCCATACGCATTTGGTGTTGGCCTCACTACATACTTGTGCAGCAAGGAGATCTATGTCATGGAACACGAGTACTATACGGGTCTTTCCATTTTCTTAATGGTGTACTATGCCACCACTAGGTTTGGACCTAAAATTGCTGCCTGGCTTGACAAGGAAATTGATGTAAGTTGAAATATCAGTGTTATCAAATTAAAATTTTCTACAAAATTTTAATGTTTCATCTGAAGTAATGCTTGAAATACATAAAAACAAATTGAGATTTTCGTCATTATGGCAATCAACCGTTTAGCTTAGTGGTTAAAGCATCTGGACGGGAATTCAAAAAACGTGAGTTCGATTCCTGCAGTGGAAATTATTTCGTTCTTTTTTCTACAAACTTTAATTATTATTATTATCATTGGATTTTCAAATATTTTTTTAGTTTACTTAACTTACTTTTAACATTAAAAGACTACAGAAAAAAAATTGTAGATAATTAAGATATATGAGATGGTGGAGATATCTTAGATTCTTAGAACAAGAAACTGCTGTATCATTGGTTCCAATCCCAATAGCATAAACCGTTAAAATTGCCTTTTAAAATTTGAGCCAGAAACGTAATAACTCATTCAGTCCGCGCTCGCTTTTAATACAATATACTCTAGCAACCTGAGTTCAATTTTCGGTGGCGATTTTAATGGAATTGTTAATTTTAAGTGCTGACTTAGAACATCCTTAAGGGTGGAGAAAAACAACGTGAGTACAGGTACATATTTTCGAAATACGAACAAAAAAAATATTTCGAAGATATGAGAAGTCTGCCAGTCCGCAGTGTCGTCGCGTCGCGGGGTTGACTACGCCCTAATATCCTCTGTACAGAGGAGGCCTTTGCCCAGTAGGGGGACAAATTTTGGCTGTTATTTTAAGATTTATTCCATGTTAATCTTACCAGGTTCGAAAAGAAATTAAGATATAAATATTGCACAATGAATAGTATCCTATGGATAAAATATGGACAAATATTAATGTCATAAACATTTCTAGGCCGTTGAGACGAACTGGAACGAGGGTCGTGTTCAGAGTATAAAGACCTTGGAGGAATCGATTGAAGATGAAAAAACAGCCCAATGGCGTGCCGAGGGTCAGGAGATTCTCGTTCAGGCCAAGAAGGAGAATGTGCTACTTCAACTTGAAGCGGCTTACAGAGAGCGATTGATGACCGCATACACAGAGGTGAGTAGAACATGAATACTGATAAAATAGTTTAATATATTAAAAAGAAATACACATTTTTAAACATTTCAATTCGTTTTTTAGCTTAAAAGCCAGACCCTCTTTTCAATCGTGGGTTAGTAGGATATGTCTGTTATGTCAGTTATGTCTGTTGTAGACAGGCCGCCACACATTTAATACCCTCAGGCTGAGATTGGTGCAGACACCTGTGAAATTCCAATATCTTTAAGGATGCTTTTAATTTCATAACCACAATTAAGCTTGCTGTTTGCTTGGATTAAGCTGAAACTTCAATAACTTTGTGGATTAATTTGTTAATTTCCCAGATAATAATGATTTAAAACAATAAAAAAATTTCGCGGAGATGTCGCTTCGCTTGGTGACCAGAGCGTTAATCCGGATAGTATAGCTTCGAATCCTGACAGCGGAGGAACATTTTGGGACACATTTTTAAGTTTCTTTTATGTGAGAATGTGGCTAGAGTTTAATCTGATGTTAAGTGATAACCGCCGCCCATGGACATTTGCAACACCAGCAGCATTACGGAAGTACGTTTTAATAAAGCGGGCCCTGGCCACCTCTCTTACCAGACAAAACGCAGAAGTATAAAACGGCCACTCCACGAGGGTCTTCAGTGAGGTCGTGGTATTTCCCTAGACGGACCTGCCCAATCGTACAACACAAAACTGCTGCGTAGCCCTACCATGCAACAGATTTGGACCGATTATATGTTGTTTGTGCAAATATAAACCACAATCTGCATCAGTCATTAGCTGAAGAACTGGCAACTTTCGCTGGGCAACTCGTTGATGACGACACAAGCCAGCTCTGAACGGTTTCGACAATCTGTTTCCAGGTGAAGCGTCGTCTCGACTACCAGCTGGAGAAATCGAACGTGGAGCGCCGCCTTGCCCAGAGGCACATGGTCGACTGGATAGTGACCAACGTCACCAAGGCCATCACCCCCGACCAGGAGAAGCAGACTCTGGACCGCTGCATCGCGGATCTGTCCGCCCTCGCAGCCAAACAGTGAATGTAGTGAACATTAGTCGTATAACAATGTAAAATAATCAATAAAGTAATATGGTTCATGTCTATGTTCATTTATTGCCGTTTTTTATTAAATACATTTTGCATTAGGTTTGTTAGGTGGCTTATTGTCCCCCTGAAGCACCGGACCGGCTGTCTGGGCCATACGAGGATACCGGACTATCTCCGGTGTGGCGGCTTGCCTGTTGGCCCGACTTCCTGCCTTGGGATTTAGAAGCTAAGATCCTCGCGTAATTGCACTCCTGGCGCGAGGCTGCTAAATCCCCGGGCCACATGCCGGCCCCGAAGGAGTTGGGGGAGCGCAGGGTTCGCCTGCGCTCAAACGCTATCGATTAGGGAGCAGAGGCTGGAGCACCCCAGTGCCGGCCTAAGAACCGTAGAGGCTATACGTCCTGTCCTCAGGAGGTGGCTGGATAGGCGACATGGCACCTTTACCTACCGTCCGACTCGGGTCCTCTCGGGAATGGGTGTTTCGGGAGGAACCTGTTTCGCGTGGCAAGGAGGGACACAGCGGAATGTCACCACTGTGACGTATGTGCCGAGGAGACGGCCCAACACGCGCTGGAGGAGTGCCCAGCCTGGACGGAGCAGTGCCGAGAGCTGTGCGCTATTGACAGCGAGAGGGTGTGAGGTGCTGTCCTCGCATATTGCGAGGACGTTATAACCCGGAAAGGGGCCGTGGAGAGAGAATCTGAGGCAACTGCCGCCCTGGAAATCCGCCGCCGGAGAACAGGGCGCAGGAGGCTGGCCTACGCACTACTTTCCCCCCGATAGTGAAACTGAACTGAGCGGCAGGCATGGGGGTGTCTGTCGCTCAATATGGGTCTCGTGACGTGTGCTGTGCCACTGCACCGGCACAGCACCATGTAGTAGACCCTAAAAGGGTCGGGGTCGCGGAAGATAGCGTCCGTGTTCCTGTGTCCCCGGCTGATGCGAAAGAGACAGGTGCAATGTGGGTTTTTAGTGGGTACACACATACCCCTGTCACTTCCCCCATCCAGTGGCAGGGGATCCATAAAGGATTGTTCCCACGGGAAAATAAAAAAAATGGTGGCACCTTGATTTAATGAGTGACAGAGATTTTAATTGGATTGATTATTTAATTGGATGTTATCTGGCTTCAGCTTTACACCCCAGAGTTGAAATAATAATCCAAGCAGTGTAAAAATCTGGTTTAAATATTGAATACAAACATGGCCGTGATAGCTCAGTGTCTGGGCTTTCGCCTTTAATTCAATTTACTTGAGTTCGATCACCGGTGCCGGCACCATGAAATTGTTAATTTCAAGAGCTGACTTATCACGTGCTCAACGGTGAAGGAAAACGTTTTGAGGAAACCTGCATATTTTCGAAATAATAACATAAAAATATATTTCAAAGATATGTGAAGTCCGCCAATACGCAGTGACTACAAACATAAAGAAACAATAGTAGAAGAAAATAATAGTAATAACAATACTGAAACAGACTTCACAGATAATTACTCATGTAGCATATACGGCAAACGGACCGCACTCAGCTTAATGGCAGTGGGGTCGCGTGTTGGACTATGCCTTGATACCCTCTGTACAGAGGAGGCCTTTGCCCAGCAGTAGGACTTGTATAGGCTGTCACGGTGGTAGGGCCACGGTGGTAGCACGGTGGGCTCGTCCAGGTAAGTACCACAACCTCACAGAAAATCGGCGTAAAATGGAAGCATATTACTTTCACGTTTCGTCTGGTGAGTGAGGCGGCCGGAGCCCAAATTTCAAAAGGTTGTCAACGCATCTGGAGCCCTCGGGTGTAACAGATGTCCACGGGCGGCGGTATAACATCAGGTCTGCTCGTCTGGCAACTTTTCACATTAAAAAAAATACTTTACTTGTTAGGCTCACAATATTTGAGTTATCCCCTGCTCTCATTTTTATCCTCGGACTATATCTCAACGCCAAAAATCTTATTGTTTTCCACACACAACCTTTGAAGCTACCACCAAGAGATTTGAAGAAATTCGCCAGCAACAGTCCTTCCAAATGGCAAGTCTGTGCTTTCAAAGTAATAGTAAAATCTATAAATGATCACTTTGAAAAGATGAGAAGTAGTCAAGGAGCCAATCTTAAAAAAAAAACTGATAATTTCAAAATATTTGAATGTAAAACTCTCGCACGATAAATATGCAGTAAATAGTATGAGCAACTGTTAAGCCAGTTAGCTAGCTATTACACGGAGAACAGAAAAAAAAGTGTTTGAAACGTTTGTTTTTTAATTTTTGTCATGAATTGAAATGGGTGTTAGTGGAATCCATCTAAACTTTGATCATAAAGTCGGAACCTTTTATTTATTAAGAAACTTCGAGGCACATGTATTTCCATTACAAGATTGCTATTATTTGTCAAAAGGAGGATATTCAACTAAATTACATTTTTTTTAATAGATCATTTCCTGTATAACATTGTACTTGACCATTGGTATTTAATAAAAGTCCTTTAGGGTATATGGTACTCGGGTTAAACGGAAAGGATGACTCGGGTTATACGAAATGGGCAGGTCCGTCCGAGGATGTAACATGACCTTACAGAAGACAAGGTGGCAATGCATCTGCATCATTACGGATGTTGCAAATGTAAATCGGCGGTGGTGCCAAATTTTCTTTATTAAAAGATAATAGCGCATATATACTTAGCGCATCTTTTATCATAAAAGTTTCATATGATGCCTATAAATTCGTTGAAATATTCAGAATTAAAAATGTGCCCTAAATTATATACTTTTTAAGTGTAAGCTTTATTTTCAAAGTGTATCTATTTTTTTAATTAAATTCTAGAAATAAATAATGTTATATAAAAATGATAAATGCGTGATTTATACGCAACTCATTTATTTTACTCGCGATCATTCATAACAAACACGCACACAAGTTCGTTTGTGTGTGTGTGAACAGTAAAAAGTATTTATGAATGACTACCGCGTTGCAACAAGTTCTGTTTTTTAGGGAATAGAATGGTAATATTTTTGAAAAAAATAAAGTTTGTTATAAACGATTATACTACCGACTCTGAACCTCGTGTGGACCACCTTTTAAATGTTTAAATCAAGTCAAAGTCTCCCTGTTAAATGTTTAAATCTGTCCTCTCACTACAATGCTCTAAAATCAGTGTATTATCTACATAATTAATGGGACTTATCAATTAAAACGTCATTGTCCCGATGACAGTCACCTGATTGTCAAAACTAAATTGAGCGGCGTATAGTGTTTTTTGTTGATCGGTACTTATAATAATCTTATTAGTTGTATAAAACAAACAATGTCCGATAGCAGGGAAGCAGATAAAAAGGTAATGAGAAATATTATCTTAACTAAGTGTGTGTTTCTCGACTACTGCTATCTTATTGGTCATTATAATATCTTCGCTCTATTTATCTTTTTGACCTTGGTTGACCCTGGAGGTCTTTGAGATCTTCGCAAGAGATTTGCTTAGCCCTTTAGAACAATTTATTGAAATATGTAAGATTTTTTCGCCCTATTACAATAACAATCAAGATAGATAACCTTATAGGTTTACATTTTGAATTTTTAATATGTAGGTACTCATCGCTACCTACATATTTTAATAATTACCTGCGAAGTACCTGCGTTATGATTTTATTGTCTGGTTTTCCTCATAACTACATGATGCAGCTAGTTTCGTTTTATGTAATGAATCACTATTAGGTTATCACAGATTTAAATACTTACATAATAAAACCTTCAACATTTCCTGATAATGTATTGATTATGTTACTTATTTTTTAACTTCATTCATTCTACAATTTGTATTTTAAATATACTGAACCTCTTTCTTATAACAATGTTTTGTTCATGATGAACTCAATTAAATATTAAGCTTAATTATATTAAAACAAATAACATTATCACATAGTGCCAAAAAGTTATCACAATTTTCTGTTCCAAAAATTTTGACCTGTGTAAAATATACCTCAGAAGACAAATTATTGATTAGCTAATTGCTGACATACACTATGCAGATGATAGGCATCTTGATTATATTATTTATCACCTGTCTCATTTGTACAGTTGAAGTGAAGAAATCATGCCTTGCATTAGCTTTCTATGAATAAATCTTTTAGGCACTTAGGGATGTAAAATTTGGTTACAGAACCTTTCATATCTTGAATAAGCAATGGTGAGTTAGAAAATGAAAGGTGGTGTAAAATGTTAGATAATTTGATATTGTAATATTGTTTTACATAATTAAAGTGAAGCAGTGTTTATCAACATTTGTTATTTTTAAACATACTAGTGGCATAAGTTAAAAATTATGAATTACAGGCCTATGACAACAGGCTGAGGCCCGCGGTAAGCCTAGTACTCTGATATATAATAAATGTTGTAGATAAAATTTATTTATTTTGTACTTGAAGCATGAGTAATTTAAAATAAAAGGGTATTCGACTATTCTTCTTTGAACTAAAAAAAAAACTCATTTTTTGTATTAAATCTGTGCCTGAATAAACAGTTTTGTTTAAAACAATTCCTTATTATTATTAAAATTTGAATGATCAAATACCCTAGTATAAATAATTTAATATTAAAACTAAAACAAAACTACTAAAACAAATGTTTTGATTAATTGTTTTGACAATTGTATATTACACAATAGTGTATATTTATGTTGCATGCTTTCGTGAATGATACAATTATTTTATCATAAGATTTAATGGCTTTTTTGAGAGGTGAGGGTGAATTTATTATTTATTAATGTTAATCTTTTTTAATGTTGTTTTTAATAAATATTCATTTTAGTATTTTTAATATACTGTTATATTCAAATAAAACATCTCTTAATCATCCAGTAAAAGTACATCAACTTCATAAAGCCAGTTGACTCTTAATTTTGTATTCAGACTTAGTAATAGTTTTTTTTTTCTTATTGAAAAACAATAATATGTTTAACTTACGTGATCATAGGCTTTGACATAAATCACAGATTGTCTTCTGTA